AGAGCTTCAGTTTTCCAGTTCCCCTCTGCTGACCACGGCTGGGATCTGCCACAGAGCTTTGGGCCTCCTCACAGGGCTCAGCATCTGAGCCCCATAGCAGAACTATTATCCTTCATGGAAGGCTCTGGGCTTTGCTGTGGGCTGCAACAGAGGCCTCTCCCTTGCCAGGTTCCCCAGGGCTCTGCCAGATTTTCCAGTGATTCACAGGATTGTTATCCCGGGGTTTGCTGTGTGTAACACCAACCCTGGGTTGTGCTTCCCTGGCTTTCCTCTGGCACAGGAATGTTGCTCCTGCCCTGGAGGATCCATTCCTAAGGACCAGGCCTTCAGCATCAGCCACTGCTGGGATGAGGATCAGGCTTATCTTCCCTGGGCCCTCCCTTCCCCCTCTCACCTCCCTCCTGCTCTCCACCTCATCCCTTTTCCTGCAGAGGGTTGTGTTGGCTCCAGCCTCTGCTTCCCTCAGTCCCTTATCCCACACTTTCCACACCACCCCACAAAATACCTGGGGACAGCTAATTAGCTCAAGGGGTAATAATTATCCTCTTATCAATACTCTTCAGTCCTCCTGCCCTCTACTTCCCTGCACTGCACGGTGTACCCAGCCCAGGCTGGCATGGAATCCTTTGGATGTCTCCTCCCAGGAAACCAGCATGGAGGGGGAGTGGGACCACGACCTGATGTCAAACCCTGCAGTCCCAGCAACATCAAAGGCTCTTCCCAGCACAGACAGCCCCTCTGGGAGATCCAGGGGTGGAAAAGGGCCTGGACTGTGACCAGGAGCATGGAACTTGCAGCTGGTTCGGGGAGCGGGATGGTCCTGCAGTGTCTGTGTGGAAATTCCAGTGAGAAAACAGGGGAAGGAGCCTGGGTTGACTCCTGAAACCTGGGGATTTTGGGAGGAGCTGGATGTTGTGCTCTCACGTTTGTGGGGTGGGAAGGGAGCAGTGGGTGGTGGTCCAGGGAGGAGGAGGAAGAGGAGGAGGAGACGTTCAGTGCCAGTTGGGGGGTTGGCACCAACCCTGTGCCCTGGATTGTGCCACTGTGGTGCTGCTGAATGTGAGCCAGGGATAGGGGGTGTCCAGAGGAGCTGGAGGAGAGCAGGACTGGAACTCCAGAGCCCTACAAACACAGACCAAGCTGTGGGGCAGCCCCGGGGCCCCTCACAGGGCCTGAATGGCTGTGTTGGAACAGCCGGGAGCTCCATCACTGCCATCCCCTCCCACACCCTGGTGCTCAGCCCCTCTGGCAGCACCAGCACCAATCCTGGCTCTGACAACCCAGCCCAGGTCCAGCACCAACCCTGGCTCTGACAACCCAGCACCAATCCTGCTCCCACCACCCAGCCCAGGTTCAGCACCATGTGCCAGCACCACAACACTTCAACCAACACCTCAGGTGCCACAGCGCTGTCCCACAGCTTTGGGAGACACCCAGCTGGGT